CATACTTACAATGCTCCCTCGGGACCATTCACTACTATATAAGCGATGAGGGCTCTGCAGCACATGCTGCTACACCATTTTTACTGTAGCATTACTCGACTGAGTATAACCCTCGCCCGTAAATGGCGATCTGCCACCTTCGCCCATGCAGGGGGGGGGGGGTTGGTGCGACCCCCCCTTGGCGTTTGAAAAACGGAGCGTCGTAGAGCTTAGCGGAAAAGACCAACGGATTGCTCTCGCCGAGATCTCGCGATTGGTGGTATATTTTTTGGTCCTAGGTCAACATTTGACCTACTTTTGACCGGTCAAAGGTCAAATTTTCGGAAAAATAGACTTTTTCAACTTTCCGCAGCGATTGCGGCAAAACGGTGGGAGATATCGACTTGAAACCTTCACTATCGTGTTCCTTGATCAATTCTCTATCGTTTGGTATGTATTTCGTTTCCCTAGCTCTAAAAATGGCGCGTTGGGAGCGCCGGAAGTCGGCAAGGTCACAGTCGGCGGCAGAAATTCGAAAAATCAAAATTTAAATTTTTGAAATCTGATTGTATTTTTGGATTTGGGAGGTCCATTTACTCCCTATAGAAGCTAATATTGCTGCATATTCCCATTGAGGTGACAAGAATTAGCAAAACAGTGGTTCGGGCGCTTTTCAAAAATAGTACCGGACGCTGTTCCTCTTGTGACGTCATAGCTCCGTGACCTGACCTGACCCGGTCAAGTTTCTTATACCATATGATAGCCAATACTTGGCCCAACATGCATGGGAAGTTTCATCACGATCCATCAACCGATGTCCGTACCACCGGCAGGAAACCTCGGGCGTTGGCACTCAGTTTGTGAAAATCCGGCCGGAGGCTGTTCCCTTTGTGACGTCATAACTCCGTGACCTGACATGACCCGGTCAAATTTTTTGTATCAAAAGATGCGCAAGGTTTGCCCCATAAGGTACCCAAAATTTGGCGGCGCTGCGCGCCGCCGTTTTTGCACTATTTCCGAAAAGCCTCGGGGGGGGGGGTGCACCAACCCCCCCCTACATGGGCGAGGGTTAAGATGGCAATAGAGCACGATAAAAACGTCAATAAATGACGCTGCATTTGTGCGATGTAATGACGTGCAAGTGAATACCGACGTATTGAATAAGTATCTTTGTAAGCCGGTGTTGTTTATTCCTCGGTCCGACTTTGATTATGCCTCAGTCACATGTTTTGTTACTGTCAAAAGCAGGATTTGCAATTGTTTATGATCTCATGTAACTTTTATCGATATCATCCATTGAACGGATACATCCAGCAAAAGATATTGGTATCTAGTTAGTTGAATCGTTAGGACGTACTTGTTCGTTTCTCGGTATCACAACCTCTTTCGATAGTCACCGGTGAGTGCAGCCTCAGTAGGAGTTGCCGTGACCTTGAGCACGACTCGGTGGCCTGTCTCTGGGGATGGCCTATAGGTCGTAATAGCCAGAGGTATCCATAGAGATGTTGCAGATATCTCTATGACGTCAGCGTGCTAAATAATAGTCGAGTCAGCTCTCTATCACTTCCAGTCTTCGCATTCCATTACCCTGACATGGTCTGTCGACGCCAAGTGGCTTGGCCAAGCAACCAAACAAAATTTGATATGTTTCCAGGATCTCTGAGGTGCATAGAAATCACGCTATTAAGTACACAAAGTACACTTCTTCCAGGTGGAGAATTGTTCTACTTAATGATGACGACGCGCGACGGTATACAAATGCACAGTGCACATGAGAGCAGTTGCACACCATTGGGTACACACATCATAGAGCTAAGCGGTGACATTGAGAGGATATGCCGATGAAATGTCGTTTATTTTTGGTCGCAACCGAAAGATGTATAGTGATTCTAAAATTCTTAAATCAGGGAACGAGCTGTTCGTACCAAGAATTTCAAAATTATCAATCGTAAACGGAGCGTCACATGATAACGCATGATCTCTAATGGACGAAACTGCTGGGGTTGATGACATCAGTCCGGTACGAGGAGATCTGCCTTGGTGTTGAGCCACTCTGGTGAATAAACGTTGATACGTGGAACCAACGTATGACGCCTGGCATGAGGCGCAACTAAATTTGTAAATGACACCAGAGCGACTCGGCTTGGGCAGTTTGTCCTTGTAACGGAACAATGTTCCAATCGTGAACTGGTTACGCAAAACTACTTTAGGATTCAGATATGGATAATATTTCGTTAATAGGGACACGACTTCACGATGCATCTTAAGCGATTGATCACCATAGAAAGGTAATACAAAGTATTTTTCCAGCCTTTTAACTGAAGCTACGGTTGGGGCTGGACTGAACTGCTTCTGTAGGAAGTTCCGAACTGAAAAATCTACAAGTCGCTTTGGGAACCCATTATTGCAAAAGAATGACGTTAAAAACTTCACTTCTAAATCGAACAATCTGTAGGTTAAACTGATCCGAAAGGCACGAAATATGGCTGATTTCACAATTGCCCTCTTTATGAGCATTGGAATAGAGCTAAAGAAGCTAGTTCCAAGGCCAGTGAAAGTTTTCTTTCTGTAAACTGAGGTTTCAAAGCCACTAGCTGTTCGTTTTACATATACTTACATATGTAAAACGAATATATATGTAACTTAATACATATGTAACTTAATAGGTTGTTGGGTAAAATGAAGAAATTGGGTATGATCTCGAAGGAACTGTACAGCGACTTATTCGCGTCCGGCTCCGTCCCAGGAGTTCTCTACGGGCTCCCTAAGGTACATAAGATGCTTGTTCCATTGCGACCCATTTTTTCAGCATGTGGGACGCCTACGTTTAAACTTGCCAGATATTTGGTTTCGATTTTGGCTCCCCTCACCGTGAACGCGTATACTGTGCAAAATAGTTACCAATTCGTAAATGACATTCAGCAACTTGAGGTTAAAGAGGGCATGTTTATGGCTAGTTTCGACGTTGAAAGTTTATTCACGAACATACCAGTTACAGAAACCATAGATATCTGCACAGAGTCATTATTTCGGAACTGCTCAACGGTAGCAGGGATAGCTAAGAACTGTTTTAGGTCTTTGCTTGAGATTTCAGTACTAAATTCGTACTTTATCTTTGACCACAAGTTATACAAACAGGTTGATGGGGTGGTAATGGGTCTACCGTTAGGCCCTACGTTTGCTAACGCATTCTTGTGTCATCATGAGAAGAACTGGCTTGATAACTGTCCTCGAGAATACCGTCCCGTTTACTTTAGAAGATATGTCGATGATTGTTTTATGATTTTCGAGCATCATTCACATGTTGACAAGTTTCTCAACTACTTAAATATTCAGCACCTAAGAGTAGGTTTGTTAAACTACAATCTTCTGGCAATATGTTGCCAGAATATACACAGGACTTAGCCGAAAAGAGCTGTGATTGGTACACATGTAGGTACCTACTTGCAAGGTGCAAGGAAATGTGTAAAGACGACATGACCAGGAGGATGTAAGTGCATATACATTTTTCTACATATTTTATAACGTATACATATGTACTCGTTTACGAGTAGGCATTACGCATAGTTACTGTGAAAAGGAAAAGAAATTACGCCTAAATTGAAATACAACTTTTTATATTTTGTAGCTGAAAAAGAAATGAATTGCCCTTTGTAATAGATCGTAAAGGCTTCATAAAATATTATCTAAAATAACTCTTAGATGTATTTCTGGATTTTCGGCAAGTCCGATTACATAATATAAAACTGGCGCTTTATGTTCTAACTGGTGTGTGAGTGACCGCTAACAGAAAATGCTGATCAACGAAGCCAATGGAATTAGATTATAAGTGAGCATGAACCTTACTTACGGTTAATTCACATGATGGTGAAAACCCTGAACACGTAATTCACATGACGGTGAAAACCCTGAACACAATATTTCTTACGCGAGCTGTTGACTTTACTAATAAAATGACGTCTTCTTCTGAAAATTTAAAAATTTGATAATTAATCTTTGTTTGAGAGCATGTTTTTGACTGTATATTATTATTATTAATTAATTATAATTTTTATGGCTGTTTATAGTGACATAAAACAATTTATTGCCACTTCTTTGCTATTGACGTCATTGAAAACTCAAGTAAAATTTTTGATTGAAAGAGGCAATTGTGGCTCGGACGTCCTTGGGGATTTGAGCGAAGATCATTATTTGGAAAAATCAAAATAGATGAATGTTTTTTCTTTCTTGGATGCTCACTAGTGTTTTGATGCCTTGCATATCAAATTAGTTTGAGACTTGCTCAGAAGGCTGCTTCAAGCCTGGCATATCACACCCCAGAAAATATGCAAGGTAAGAAAGAAGCAAGAGTTTTGAGGTATATGTCGAGTTTTGACTAGACAATCACTGTTTGTCTGACAGTCCATCAACTTCAGTTTCATTTTCCATACCTAACATTGATAATGAAAAGCATCAGGGTCTGTTGTTCTGTCCCACACTCATGCTTCAGGATTTGGCATTAGATGTCTACACTGCTAGTGCTTCTATTCTGGTTCGTTGTTTATGTTTTCTGTTGATGTAGGTACCTACCTACCCATCTTTCTTAACCCCTTGCAAGGGCTTGTGTAGGCATGCGATGCGCATCAGGCTTCAGGCCTTCGGCCTCAGATACACAACCACTTAATCTATGATGCTTCATGAGCTTGAGAATCTATAGCCCATTGCAATGTGCTTTTGGCTATATGTTTCAACTAAAAACAACATATTATATACTATTTGGTTGCATTTCATTGAAAGTATCCACGGCCGGCTGACGGCTGGCTGCCCACAGTTTGCCACGGCTGTGGGCGGCTGTGGCTGTGGAGCCACGGCTTCGGGGCGGCTAGGCTGTGGAAAATTGCAGCCGTGCAGAACTCTACTTTGTAACTCCTTCATCGACCGGAAGAGGTAAAGCACAAATTTACAAATAATTTGTGAGAAACAAGTTTATCTAACAGCTGAGAAAAATTCTCGCAGCCGGTCGCACCAGTTAAGTTGTGCGCTTAGGGCGTGTACTTGCACAGCTGCGGGTAGAGAGACATCGTTTCAGCCACGATGAAGTCCAGCCAAACCACGTCCCCAGCCTGGGCCACCACGCAGAGGTCGTTTTCTGCCCTGTCGTTAGGCTGACCATCGCGCCAGTGGGTGAAGTCGAACGGTGTGTCGTCCAGCCAGTAGAAGTTCCGAGTAGTAGACGGTCCGGTGTGCTCCAGGCCGATGAAAGCGCTCTGACCGTACAGGAGATTGCGCTTCACAAAATCATTTTCCTCCTGCGAGTGGATCGAGGCTAGTTCGGAGCCAGCGCGCAGCTGGCGACAGGCAGCCTTCGCTGCGCTCCAAATCCGTCTTTCTCTGAGTACGATGTAGCAGGCTCCGTTGAATTCTGTCCAATCCGTGTCGCAAATTCCCATCTCATCTCCCAGGAGCTGGCAGACCCCTTTCTCGGCGACATCGGAGCAGGTCACCGCCAGACACTCCTCTTGCTGCGCACAGAGCAGGCCACACTGGGCGCAGTTGCCGACAGCCTGGCTACCCAGCTTGCTAAGGGTATGGCCACCCTGAGGCAGCACCAGCACAATGGCGCTCTCCAGGATGGTCGCCGTCGTCGTCAGCGGCGTCGGCAACAGCAGGAGCAGACACAGCCGCGACAAGGACATGCTGCAGCCGACGAGGAACGCGTGTGGCGCGTGTCTGTGCTGTACGACGGCGAACAGAAACATGATGGGATAAGCTCCGACAAAGACATTGGCGCTTCTGTTTTTATTACGGTTGACAATCTGCCATCATGTTATAAAGCACAACAGCTAGTTATGTCCATGGAAAAGACAATTGCCAATCTGCTGCGAAAAACATTGTCATTTGCCATGTTCGCGAGTCATATGACCGATGGGGCGTTCCACGACAAATCGACAAATAAAAAATTAAATTTGCACCCTCATATTTTATTTTTCGTTGAAAACTGGTGTAAGGGGTTGTGATGGGTGGGGAAGCCAGCTGTGGCAAGGATTTTTTTCTTCGAACAACGGTTTCCGAGATATAGCCTCGGGCAATTCCAGCAGGTCGCGCTGCAGCCCTATGTTTGGCGGCCTATAACTCAGAAACTATTGGTTTTCTACGATGAAAACTTTATATGGTTCGACTCATAATCAGCCAACAAACATTTTGGCTGTCTCGGATTATCAATTTTTGAAAATTTTGATCACGTGACCTTTTGACCTATTTTTCGAATAGTGACCTTGATATTTTCCCCACTGAAAGTTGCAATTTTGTCTGATGACGATTAAAGCCTTATCAATTGTCATTCATATGCGAAAATAAAAAAGTGGATATCGCCCTGCGTTGACCTCAGGTCAGGTCATTTTTATGACCTGTCCATTATTACGAGCGGAAGCGACAGCGAGATCTCGAGAAGAAAGCAAGATAGCGACAAGCGGTAAACGGTACAGGGTACAAATGGATAAGGTCTATAATTTTTACTGAGGTCATTTTCAGGTCAGGTCAAAGATGACGTCACAGGAGCAAAAAGGAAGTCAAAATTGCGGCACTACATATATATGAAGTTTTTCTAGAATAACTTTCAAGGTATCCCAGCTAGGAACAAACTAATAGCACCATCGTGATCCTCTCGTCGATCCGCATCGAAATATATGTATGTTGACCTCGAAAGGTCGAAAGGTCAAAAGTTGACCTTAGGTCACGTGACGAGCGGGAGCGACAGCGAGATCTCGAGGATAAAGCAAGATAGCGACAAGCGGTAAACGGTGCAGGGTACACACGGATAAGGTCTATAATTTCTATTGAGGTCATTTTCAGGTCAGGTCAAAGATGACGTCACAGGAGCAAAAAGGAAGTCAAAATTGTGGCACTACATGTTTGAAGTTTTTCTCGAATAACTTTCAAGGTATCCCAGCTAGGAACAAACTAATAGCACCATCGTGATCCTCTTGTCGATCCGCATCGAAACATATGTATGTTGACCTCGAAAGGTCGAAAGATCAAAAGTTGACCTTAGGTCACGTGACCTAAGGTCAACTTTTGACCTTTCGACCTTTCGAGGTCAGCATACATATGTTTCGATGCGGATCGACGAGAGGATCACGATGGTGCTATTAGTTTGTTCCTAGCTGGGATACCTTGAAAGTTATTCGAGAAAAACTTCATATATATGTAGTGCCGCAATTTTGACTTCCTTTTTGCTCCTGTGACGTCATCTTTGACCTGACCTGAAAATGACCTCAGTAAAAATTATAGACCTTATCCATTTGTACCCTGCACCGTTTACCGCTTGTCGCTATCTTGCTTTATTCTCGAGATCTCGCTGTCGCTCCCGCTCGTAATAATGGACAGGTCATAAAAATGACCTGACCTGAGGTCAACGCAGGGCGATATCCACTTTTTTATTTTCGCATATGAATGACAATTGATAAGGCTTTAATCGTCATCAGACAAAATTGCAACTTTCAGTGGGGAAAATATCAAGGTCACTCTTCGAAAAATAGGTCAAAAGGTCACGTGATCAAAATTTTCAAAAATTGAAAATCCGAGATAGCCAAAATGTTTGTTGGTTGATTGTGAGTTGAACAATATAAAGTTTTTATCGTAGAAAACCAATAGTTTTTGAGTTATAGGCCGCCAAACATAGCGCTGCAGCGCGACATCCAGGAATTGCCCGAGGCTATATCTCGGAAACCGTTGTTCGAAGAAAAAAATCCTTGCCACAGCTGGCTTCCCCGCCCATCACAACCCATTAGACCAATTTTAAGCAAAAAATAAAATATGAGGGTGCAGGGCACTTGTCGATTTGTCGTGGAACGCCCCCGATGTGACTGCCTGTTATTATAATAATAATAATAATAATAACATTTATTTCGCACCAGGTCGGTACATATACAACATGACAAATTCAGTCAACATGATAATGTCACCAACATACACATCATACACTCTGCACACATCACACCCATGCACAAGAGACAATCTTGGCAGTTTGACATCAGCGAATTCAGACCTGCATGAGACGGGCTTGTACCACTCTTTCTAGATGGGCACTGAACATATTGCTAACATCTTTTCGACTGATATCATTTATATTTAGTTCCAGCAGCTCATAGTCAGTTCTGATTTTCCTATGGTTGCGTGCAACCAACCCTTTCTCGCCTATGGCCCTATTCAGATCATTTATTATGCTATTTTGACTAGATGTAGCTCTCTTCCAGAAAAGAAGCTGCCTACTCGCTATCAGCATTGGACATGTAAGCATCTTTAGCTCCATGCACAGGTTGTGGTTTCTCGTCCATCTTGGAACTTTAACAAGTTTCTTCAAACAGGAGTGATAGGCCACACACAATTCACGCATCGCCTTTTTCCCACTCAGCATACTCCACAACTCACAGCCATACATGCTTGTACAAAATGTCCTGAAGAGCCTAACCTGTCCTTGTCAAAATGTCCTAAGTAACTAACCTGAAGAGCCTAACTAACCTAACTAACTAAGTGTCCCTATCTGCAAAGCCTAATTGAGCACAAAGCATATTTGTACTATAATACATAAATCGTTTAACTCTGCGCATGTCAGAACTATCATCCAAATCACATGAAACTGTGTGACCCAAATATTTAAACTCCTGCACCCATCCAAGTTTTTGTCCATTTAAATAAATATCTGCAGTCTGGCTGTTGGACAGGTGTAGTTTTCTATATGGCTTTTGTGGCGGAAACAGCAAACACACTGTCTTCTTCGTGTTAAACACGACATCAAGCGCTAATGCAGGGTGCTCACATTTTTGTACCAACGTTTGAAGGGCTGACCTAGTTGGAGCCAAAAGCACTAAATCATCAGCATACGCAATCACATTCACGGCACTTGGACCCATGAAACAGCCGATCTTCAGCTTCCTCAATACAGTAAGAAGGGAGTCAATGTAAACATTAAATAGCATCGGGGACAACGATCCACCCTGCCTTACACCATTCTGAACGTTGATGGTGTCGGATTCACTACCAGCCCACTTGACGCTTAGTTTTTGCGTCCTATACCACCTTAAGAGGAGCTTGACATATGGCAGAGGTACATTACGATCAGCAAGAATGCGAAAGAGTTTAGAATGGGATACTCTGTCAAATGCTTTGCTGGCGTCCAAAAAGCAGGCATAAACAGGGCTACCCTGACTTGTATAGTGGTTCACTGTTTCTTTAAGGACGTATGATGCAAAAGTAGTGGACTGTCCCGCCTTGAAGCCAAACTGTGCATCGCTGGTACTGAGGAAAGGCATTAACCTGTCCAAAAGTATGAGTTCCAATATCTTTGACAAAGTAGTGGACAATGCTATAGCACGGTAATTTGCTTTGTCATCTAAAGCACCGCACCTGTCCTTAATTATAGGAACTAACAAGGAATGGATCATATCACTTGGCAGTGCCGAATGGCTGAGCATCCCATTAAATAGGACAGCCAAATCACTGAGAAAATGTGTTTCTAAGTGCAATAAGTGTTCATTGCACACAAGGTCCCAACCTGGGGCTTTTCCACCCTTAAGCTTAGCTACTGCACCACAGACATCTTGAAGGTCAATGGGAGGGACATGGGAGAACGGTGCTCTTGTCAGTTCATTTAAGACAGCATCATCACTGCAGCAGGTAAAGTCATTGAAGATCGATGCAAAATGAGCTTTCCACATCTTAACAATGTTTGCCTGACCACAAATGAGACCAAAACTCAGTGGAGTACTCGACTTTCCACTTATCTCTCGCTTAATGAGGAACCAAAATTGGTCTGGCTGTTTATTAACCAAACTGGCTGCTATTTTGTTAGCTTTTGCGGCTCTGTAGTCTTTCCTACACTTCCTCAGGGAGTATTTAAAAGCAAGTCTAGTCTGTCTCATAAGAACAGCCACCGGACCTACCTTGGGAGATCCACAGTGACGCCACCAAAGAAAAGCTTGGCGGGCTACAGCATGCTTCGTTTTGACGTGATTATTCCAACCAGGAATCTGACTATGGTGCCGAGCACCTCCGGTCTGTTTGATGCAATGAGTACCGGCTAGTTTCACAGTCTCAACTAAACGGGAGTAACAGTTATTAATATGTAGGACATGGTCCTCATTCACACATTCTAGGCCGCAATCCGCATTTAGTGTTTGAAGTGGAGCCGTATATTGTATTCCTAGTTCCCTTACGAGAAATTCATTGTAGTTAACAATTTCTTCCCGTGTAATTGATTTCCACTGCGGTCTGGGGGTCTTTTGGGCTCTTTGCTCCGGCATGGCAATGTCAGTTACTTGGAGCGTGAATTTCACAACCATTGGCAAATGATCGTGAACACTTATATCATAGTGAATGAAAATCCTATCAATGGTAAGGTGAAGGCACGGACTACACAAACAATGGTCCAACCATGAAGTGGTACCATGTGCAGCACTGACATATGTATATGTGGAAGTAGTGGGTTCTAACAAGAACAAATCCGACACCATCAGGCTGTTTTCCAAGCAAAAGTCCAACAGTTCTAAAAAGAAACGGGACCCATAACTATTCGCATTACAGTCACCAATGACCCCATAATAGTCAGTTCTGGTGCGAACAATGTCAAGATAACAACTAAGCTCTCCAATGCACATTCCAAAGTCATCTTGACTGTCACTGTCATGATAATCTGTAGGCAAATACACATTGAATAGTGACACTATGCCGACATTCGTGAGAACATCAACCTGCATTATAC